GAGTAGAGGAGGCTGTGAGCATAGATGGGGAGAGTAGAGGAGGCTGCAGGCATGGATGGGGAGTAGGAGGCTGAGCATGGATGGGGAGAGTAGGAGGAAGCTGAGAGCATGGATGGGGAGAGTAGGGGAGGCGTGGATGGGAGAGTAGGGGATAAGCAAAAGACAGAAGAAAGAAGAGGAATTTATACAGGATTAAGAAGACGTGAATAAGGAGGAGGGAGAAAAGAAATAGAGGAAGAGAAATAAAAGAGAGAAAGGAAGAGAGGAAAGAAGAAGAGAAGGTGGACGAGAGAGAAGAGAAAGGGTATGGAGAAAGCATGGGTAAGGGAAGAGTGTGTGAGAGAAGAGTAGAAAAGAAGAGTGTGGGGGAGGGAGAAGAGATGAGTGAGGGAAGAGTAGTGAGGAAGAGTGTTAAGAAAGGGGGAGAGGAACGTGGAATGAGAAAGAAGAAGAGGGAGAAAAAAGGGTGAAGGGGAAAAGGGGAAGGGAAAGGGAAGAGGAGAGGGAGGGAAAGAGTGAAGAGAGGGAAGAAAGGGGGACGATCTGGAGAGGAAGAATGAAGAGAGGGAGGAGAATTGAGAAGATCTGAAGGAAGAGTGAAGAGAGGGAGGAGAAGGGGAAAGGGAGCTGCTACAGACCTAAAAGTAAATCTCTACTCTGAATTTAGCCACAGAAGGCATAAAAACATGACGCAGCTGTCTGACTCTACAACATAGTAGTCTCAAAGGGGGCGGGGAGAGGAAAGCCAGGTGGGGGGGTAATGGTGGCACTAAGGGGTAACACAGGGAAGGTTTGGTGGTACTGGAGGGGTTTAGGTGTTTGATGGGTAGTTTGAGGAAGTTTGAAGGTGGTGGAGGTTGTTTGCGGGTACTGAGGGGCTGGTGTCGAGTGTTGCTGGTGGTACGAGGTACTTGGCAAATGATGTAGTTTGTAGTGTCAGAGGTAGTTTGCAGTGTCGAGGGGTTGTTTGGTGTGTCGAGGGGGTGGGGGCTTCAGGGTGCTGATGTGGAAGTTTGTAGGGTCGAGGGGCTGTTTGCAGCGAGGGCAGGTGCAGAGGCTGTTTTGGTGTGTGCAGAGGGTTGCTTGGGGTATGTTGAGGAAGAGTAGTCAGAGTAGTTTGGTAAGTCGAGTAAGTTGCTTGGTGTGCTCGGCGATAGGTGCTGAGGCCGGTAGTAAATAAGGAGTAGTTTGTAGTCAGGGGAAGCGGTGGTGCCGAGGCTATTTGGTGCGTCAAGGGAGTAGTTTGCGGTACGAGGTAGTTTGGTGCTCGTGAGGTAGTTCTGGTGTGCCGAGGGGTAGTTTAGTAAGTCGAGGGGGGCTTATGGTGTTGAAATAGGTGTCAGATGGGTTTGCAGTCGAGGTGTTAGTAGTCGAAATTTTGGTGGTGTCAAGGGGGGTAGTTTGGTGGTGTCGAGGGGGTAGTTTAGTGGTATTAGTGTAAAGATGTACATTATTTTCTTTCTTGTTAATGCATGTAAATTGGTATGTGCACATAATATACACGACTACCCAGCTGTTGTGTCGAGGTCGAGTTGTGAAGTCTTCTTGCATCCACCGTAATATGACGACAGATCACACCGTATTGCGTAATCTCACGCCACGTTATGTAAGACCTGACATCAATAAACACAGGCCGCTTCACCGCATCACACCTTCAACTGTCGGCTCGGCTGGACACACCTCCTACCCTCCTGTACAAGATACCCAGAGTACATCTATGTGCTTGTACTCAACGGCAGGCTCTATCTTCCCTCCCAAACCTATCTGAGGCAACAGAACAGAAGACAGTGAAGCAGGTTACATCTACAGCATTCTACCACAGTGCTTGTTGGGATCCTCGACACATTACTACTACCACAAGTACTATACTACATTTTGCTAGTACATTACACCCAACTGTGGCGTCAAAGGGGGCTAGACCATCCAGCCTGGACGTATAGTATGGTGGTGTCAAAGGGGGAGGGGGAGTAGTGTGTTGGTGTCAAAGGAGGGGGGGTAGTGTGTTGGTGTCAAGGGAAGGGGGGGGTAGTGTGTTGGTGTCAAATGGGGTATGGTGGTGTCAAAGGGAGGGGGGGTAGTATGGTGTTGTCAAGATAGAGATATGGTGGTGTCAAAGGGTGAGTATGGCATTAAAGGGGAAAGGAGATACTGAGTCATGCTGGTGTCAAGGGGGCTAACGTCATTATATTACGTGACCTCCAGCCCTTTTCTTACAGTCACAATAACACTCGTACGGACACCAACATTAAGTAGCTGTAACCCCCTGAAATTATAGGTGAGTGAAGGGTGAGTCAGATATAGTGAAGGGTGAGTCAGAATTAGTGAAGGGTGAGTCAGGATTATAGATTGAGGAAAGAGTGAGTCAGAATTATAGGTGAAGGAAGAGTGAGTCAGAATTATAGGTGAGGGAAAAGTGAATCATAATTATAGACCCCAGGGAGGCAGGAAGTTATATGGGATTATCAAGTATTAGCACAAGTGGTAAGATTTGCCACCAATGGTTACACGAGTTGAACCAGAAAGTAATATTTTGGGTGGTGCCATTATCATACCTGAATTAAATGACACCAAAAATATTATTGTGTGTGTGTGTGTGTGAACAGTAATCCATACCAAAAATATTATTGTGTGTGTGTGTGTGTGTGTCATCCGTACAATAACGGGGAGGTCAATATTAATACGGTGGACTAACGGAATAACACAATAATGTATTAAGATAAGGAGTGGGTGTGTCTGCCCCCCCCCCCACCCACCCGTCGGTCCGTATAATAACGGGGAGGTCAACAGAAATATCCTGGGTGGGTGTGGACGGTCTGTTATGGTCTGTGGTGTCAGCGATCATCAGTCCCTCCATCCACCCCCCCTCCCCCGTATTGATTCCCTTCCCTCCCTCCCTCCCTCCCTTCCCCAAACCCTCCCTCCTCCTTCCCTCCCCCAGCCTCTCCTTTCTCCCCTCACCCTCCCTTACTCCCTCACACCTTAAAGCCTTCCCCGTCCGTCCTTCCTTCCCTCACTCCCTCCTTCTCTTCCTTCCCTTCCCAAACCCAACCTTCCTTCCTCCTCTTCTAATTACCTAATTCTCTCCACTAACCCTAAAAATTGTCCCCTCTCATCCGTCCCTCTCTCCCTTCTCCACCCCTCTCTTCCTCTTCCACCTCTCTTGCCTCATCTTCGTAAGGTCAAGAGTTCGATCACGGGCTTGAGAGAGAGAGAGAGAGAGAGAGAGAGAGAGAGAGAGTTGCATCACATCCAACGCCGAACTGCTGGTAATAATCTTTGACCGCTTCAAAATAATAATAAAAAATAAAAAAAATAAAATTCGCAGTAGAATGTCCAAACACGTCAATATCAGGCAGTAGGGAGTTGTCACTGTGAATGTCTGCATCCCCCCCAGTCAAATTATGAGGGAAGGGGGAGGGGGGAGAGGAGGGGGGAGAGGAGGGGGAGAAGAGGGGAATGGGAGGGGAGAGCAAGGTTAGAACAATGGATGAAGGGAGTTGTGGTTCTGAGTCAGTGTGTGAATCACGAATGTTGCAGTTACTTTTTTGTCTCTCTCTTTCTCACCTTTCCCTCCTTCCCTCTCTCTCACCTCTACCTCCCTCTCTCTCACCTCTTTCTCCTTCCCACCCCTCCCTCTCTCACCTCTCCCTCCCTCTCACCTCTTCTTCCTCTCTTTCTCAACTGCAACTTCCCCTCCTCATCCCTCTCTCCCGCTCACTCCCCTCCCCCTCACCTCTCTCTCCCTCTCACTCCCCCTTACCTCTTCTTATGTGATAACTTAAATGATCTCGTTAATGACGTTTTCATATTTCCACCTTTGAGGAGAAATTTAACTTACGACTCGGAATGCCAGACGGGATTTACATTATTGCCAGATGCCGCCAGAGAACGAGAGCGAGTACTACGGGCGTACTAAATATTATCATAAACGTCAAATATTATCATAGTCACAAGTAAACAGCTATATAAACATTGGCCATATTTAGTGCTTCATAACACACATTGAAACGCAACGGCTCTAGCTGAATATTAAACATATCTATTATCACATCTGAAGTTATGTAAACATTGTCGATGTTTCAAGAGTTTGAAAATAAACAATGACACAAAATGGCTGACACAGAGATAACTTTCGTTTCGCCTTTGTTAATCGACGTTAAAAAAATAATACAGATTTAGTGAGATTCTCTTACTCACATCAGTAAATGCACACGTCAAAAAAAAAATCGTACTAGACACCGTGTGAATGTAGCGGAAATTTAATAGAACACACGATATAATCCTGAACTCTGCCATCAGTATAGAGACCACAACACACTCTACCCCAGTTACTGAAGCTCTTGGTAAATGTTTCATGATATTAAAAAGGTCGCCAAATCGCCAATTCTAATCCGACCCAATATCGACATCCTCTCTACCAGCTCTCAGGAGGGACCAATGTCCTCGCCAAGACTCAAGAAGATCTGTCCAACCCTTCCAGAGGATGATACGCCACGGACGAGAATGATACGCCACGGACGAGAATGATATGCTGCGGACGAGGATGGTACGCTACGGACGAGGATGGTACGCCATGGACGAGGATGCTACGTCACGGACGAGGATGATACGCCACGGACGAGAATGATATGCTGCGGACGAGGATGATACGCTACGGACGAGAATGATACGCTACGGACGAGGATGGTACGCCATGGACGAGGATGATACGCTACGGACGAGGATGATATGCCACGGACGAGGATGAAATGCTACGGACGAGGATGATACGCCATGGACGAGGATAATACGCCACGGACGAGAATGCTACGTCACGGACGAGGATAATACGCCACGGATAAGGATGATACGCCATGGACGAGGATGATACGCCACGGACGAGGATGATACGCCACGGACGAGGATAATACGCCACGAACAAGGATGGTACGCCATGGACGAGGATAATACGCCACGAAAGAGGATGATACGCCACGGACGGGAAGGAAGTAGCTCGTTACTTAAGTTCTCTTTTTATCTGGTCTCGAGTGCTTGAGTCTTGATTTCTGTCTCAGACACCTTTGGATCTCGGGTTTTTGCTTGAGACCTTTTTAAGACCACAAATAAATACTACAATAACTAGAGAGCCAACCTGGGACAAATTACAATACATTATTCTGTAGTACTGAAATAAAAACTTATCCAATAGATTAATATGTACAGAAGAAACCTCTTTTTAACGGACTACATGGAGAGAGAAAAATCCGTTATATCGAGGGTCCGTTAGATGTAAAACCTCCATCATACGAACTACATAGAGATGAAACTCCATTATATCGAGGGTTCATTAGATGTGAAACCTCCACCAAACGAATTATATGAAGGCTTCACTGTACTCAAGGGAAAAGGCTTTTAACGCAATGTGTCATCTTAGAGTATACAAATTATACACCCAGGGTTTATTATAACAGTATCAGAAAGCCTCTATAATCCGTGTCTATAATCTGTTGTGAAGTCGTATTATATCTAAAGAAGCATAACCAAGGCCGTGAAAATGTTGATATTATTTATATTACTGCGGATTGTATAGAACGAACAGGTAGAAGAAGTCTAATTCACAGGAATTAAACGACCTTTATATGAGTAATATTCTTCACAGCTACACTTATACAGTATAGTTATTGATGATTAGTCGTAGTCATTATAGAGGCAAATGACTGGTGCTTGATACGATAATTTATTCTTTTGATTCAGTCTTCATCGGAATCACTTTCTACTGGTAATATCCTTACATTAACCCAAACACTTGTGTATTTTACTCAACACGTCTTATACAGCAAGGCCATGTTATTCCCTCGGTAAATGCTACGCCAGGTTTACCATTCTGGGCTACAACTCTTCCTTTGTTAACTCTCCAGCAGTGAAAGTAACTATAATTAAGATCATCTCTCTCCCAGCCATGAACCGTGTGTGAACCATGAGCCTTGTGTGAATCATGAACCTTGTGTGAATCATGAACCTTGTGTGAATCATGAACCTTGTATGAATCATGAACCTTGTGTGAATCATGGACCTTGTGTGAACCATGAGCCTTGTATGAATCATGAGCCTTGTGTGAATCATGAACCTTGTGTGAATCTTCAACCTTGTATGAATCGTGAACCTTGTGTGAATCGTGAACCTTGTGTGAATTATGAACATTGTGTGAATCTTCAACCCTGTGTGAATCGTAAGCCTTGTGTGAACCGTGAACCTTGTGTGAATCATGCACCTTGTATGAATCATGAACCTTGTATGAATCGTGAACATTGTGTGAATAATGAACTTTGTATGAAACGTGAACCTTCTGTGAATCATGAACCTTGTATGAATCATGAACCTTGTATGAATCATGAACCTTGTGTGAATCATGAACCTTGTATGAATCATGAACCTTGTGTGAACCATGAACCTTGTATGAATCAAGAACCTTGTGTGAATCAAGAACCTAGTGTGAATCAATAAAGGGGATATAGATAAAGTTCTTATAATATCCGAGCAGGATAGGACTCGGAGCAACGGATTCAAGTTGGATAAGTTTAGGTTTAAGAGGGAGATAGGAAGAAACTGGTTCACAAATAGGGTGGTGGACGAGTGGAACAAGATTTGCAACTTTGTAGTAAGTGCGGGAACTCTGGAAAGTTTCAAAAGGAGGCTAGATAGATTCATGGATGATAGAGAGTGGTAGTAACTCTCGACAGGAGCTGCCATGCACAGGCCAACCGGCCTATTGCAGACTCCTTATTTTCTTATGTTCTTATGTTCTTAATGAACCATGAACCTTGTGTGAATCGTGAACCTTGTGTGAACCATGAACCTTGTGCGAATCGTGAACCTTATGTGAATAATGAACCTTGTGTGAATCGTGAACCTTGTGTGAACCATGAACCTTGTGTGAACCATGAATCTTGTGTGAATCGTGAACCTTGTGTGAATCGTGAATCTTTTGTGAATGATGAACCTTATGTGAATCGTGAACCTTATGTGAATCGTGAACCTTGTGTGAATCGTGAACCTTGTGTGAATCGTGAACCTTGTATGAATCATGAATCTTGTGTGAATCATGAACCTTGTGTGAATCATGAACCTTATGTGAATCGTGAACCTTGTATGAATCGTGAAGCTTGTGTGAATCATGAATCTTGTGTGAATCATGAACCTTATGTGAATCGTGAACCTTGTATGAATCATGAACCTAGTGTGAATCATGAACCTTATGTGAATCGTGAACCTTGTATGAATCGCGAACCTTGTGTGAATCATGAATCTTGTGTGAATCATGAATCTTGTGTGAATCATGAATCTTGTGTGAATGTGTGAATCATGAATCTTGTGTGAATCATGAACCTTATGTGAATCGTGAACCTTGTATGAATCATGAACCTAGTGTGAATCATGAACCTTATGTGAATCGTGAACCTTGTATGAATCGCGAACCTTGTGTGAATCATGAATCTTGTGTGAATCATGAATCTTGTGTGAATCATGAATCTTGTGTGAATCATGAACCTTATGTGAATCGTGAATCATGAACCTTGTGTGAATCGTGAACCTTGTGTGAATCATGAATCTTGTGTGAATCATGAACCTTATGTGAATCGTGAACCTTGTATGAATCGCGAACCTTGTGTGAATCATGAATCTTGTGTAGATCATGAACCTTGTGTGAATCATGAATCTTGTGTGAATCATGAACCTTATGTGAATCGTGAACCTTGTATGAATCGCGAACCTTGTGTGAATCATGAATCTTGTGTGAATCATGAACCTTGTGTGAATCATGAATCTTGTGTGAATCATGAACCTTATGTGAATCGCGAACCTTGTGTGAATCGTAAACCTTGTGTATCCGAGACAAGACACACCTTTGGACGAGCGCAAGTGATGATACCGTGACTAACTTTACTCCACGCTCTGATATTTGACGTCAACAGTGCGTGTGTGTATGTGTGTATATAAAAATCATGACACATTTACAACAGTTATGACACACCTACAACAGTTATGACACACCTACAACAGTTATGACACACCTACAACAGTTATGACACCCCTACAACAGTTATGACACCCCTACAACAGTTATGACACCCCTACAACAGTTATGACACCCCTACAACAGTTATAACACACCTACAACAGTTATGACACCACTACAACAGTTATGACACACCTACAACAGTTATGACACCCCTACAACAACATGTTATGACACCTACATTCTACAACAGTTATGACACCCCTACAACAGTTTTGACACACCTACAACAGTTATGACACCCCTACAAACGTTTTGACACCACTACAACAGTTATGACACCCCTACAACAGTTATGACACACCTAACAGTTATGTACAACAGGACACTACAACTACAACAGTTATGACACCCCTACAAACGTTTTGACACCACTACAACAGTTATGACACCCCTACAACAGTTATGACAAACCTACAACAGTTATGACATCCCTAGAACAATTATGACACACCTCCAACAGTTATGACACCCCTACAACAGTTATGACACCCCTACAACAGTTTTGACACCCCTGCAACAATTATGACACCCCATCAATAATTATGACACCCCTACAACAGTTTTGACACGCCCACAACAGTTATGACACCCCTACAAATTATGACACCCTTATGACACACGTAAAACAGTGCACACATCGACAACTGTTACGACTAATATGACACCTAACCTTCAGAAATATGTTCACTTGTACCTGTATTTAGCTGGACCTGTAATATGTTTCTAGTGTGCGCTTTAACCTGTATTCCTGCATTATTCTAATCTATACCTGTATCGGCAAGCTGTAATCTGCAGCTGCATTTAAAATGTAACTGCAACTGTACCTGTATCTGTTCTCGTGTCTTAATTTGTACCTGTATTGGTGCTGTTAGTCTGAATTACCAGGAATTTTATTTCTAAAACCACGATTTTTAATATAATGTAAATACAAAAGACCTCCTGGTAATAATAATAATAATGATAATAATAATAACAATAACAATAATAATAATAATAATAATAATAATAATAATAATAAAACAGCAACAGATAATAACAATAATATTACAAAAATAAATAAAAATAACAGCATCAACAATAACAGTGATTACAAAAATAATAATAACAAAAAGAACAATAAAACAATAGCAACAATAACAATAATAGTATGGTATAAAAATAAAAAAAATAATAATAATAACATTAATAATAATAATAATAATAATAATAATAATAATAATAATAATAATAATAATAAAAACAACAATAACAATAGCAACAACAACAATCATAATAATAAATAATAAAAATAGCAACAACAACAATAACAATAATAATAATAATAATAATAATAATAATAATAATAATAATAATAATGTACACATGGGTGGTTGTGGAGGAAGAACATCAAATGATTCACCTCTAGTGTACGCGTCGATGGAGACGTTGTGTGTCAAGGTAAATACTGTATGTATACGTCATGTACATTTATCACTGAACACGTATTCCACCATGACGTAATTGTACACACTTTACGTACATCAGTAGAACGGTACAGTACATAGAGGTGAGGTACATTAAGATAACGTGTACAGTAACTGAGGTGCATTAATGGCGAGGTTGAACGTGAAATCAGGTGTAAACACTCGGTATTTAAAGCCTTGTATAGGAGCACGCAGGATCTCTCACGACTTACCTTGGGACGTGTAGTGAGGAAGGTGGTCTTAGTGGATGTGGTAGACTGTGGTGGTGGTTAGGATGGTGGTGGTGGTGGTTGGTGGTGATCAGTTCACCCACCCTCCACACATACACAAACACACACGACACCCGGGAACGACACCTCCGTACACCTACCTCCTACACACACTCACACTCACACACACACACACACACACACACACGGACGGGCAGGGCGGACGGAGCCCCACAATCCAGAGAATCGGGTTAAGATCAATAAGCCCTCCTGTTATACTTCTTTCTCGTGTTGCATGTTGCGTCCTTGTTGCAAAGGTCCTCTCCTTTCCTGGTTCTCTAACCTCTTTCTTCTCTCTTTCTCTTTCAGTCTTTCTCTATCTCTCTCTCGCTCGCACCTAGCCGGTCCCTAAACCCACACACAGGGACACATCAGAGGTAGCACTCCAAACGCGGCGGCGGCGGCGAGCACATACGGGGAGGGGGGAATGCCTCTAGTAAACACAGGAGGGGACATGCGCATCGCGGGGAACTTGTGGTCGTGCGCGCGCCTCTTACCTTACCTCCTCCTCCGCCTCCCTCTCGATCTCCTCTCCTCCTTTCGACTTCTAGGAACGTGAGAATTGCAAGCCGATAACACACACACACACACACAACATAAACACATTCACCAACTCTCACAGGCTTGGGAGGAGGGGAGGAGGAGGGAGGAACCTGCCGCTCCTGCACACACCCGCGACACCTCTTTAAAATACTACACGTCTCTCACACTCTTCTAGCATCAACCCATAATACATACAAATAGATTACGCAAGGACAAATTATGGACACTTTTTACGAATTTTTGATGGTATAACACACAAAAAAGAGGTAATAATGCAGAGATAAAGCGAGTGTTTGTTTTGTCCACTCTTTAGGATTCACAAAGACTCCCATAATAAGTATTCCTGGTAATAATGGATGTAAGACTGTGTGAAGTGTCTGAAACATAAGAAAATAAGGAGTCTGCAATAGGCCGGTTGGCCTGTGCATGGCAGCTCCTGTCGGGAGTTACTACCACTCTCTATCATCCATGAATCTATCTAGCCTCCTTTTGAAACTTTCCAGAGTTCCCGCACTTACTACAAAGTTGCTAAGCTTGTTCCACTCGTCCACCACCCTATTTGTGAACCAGTTTCTTCCTATCTCCCTCCTATCCAACTTGAATCCGTTGCTCCGAGTCCTATCCCTCGGATATTATAAGTGATTCCTTTCACCCACTTAAATACTTCTATCATATCTCCCCGCACTCTTCGTCTTTCTAGGGAATGCAAGTTAAGTTTCTTTAACCTATCCTGAAGTCCCTAACCCCCCCCCAAAAAAAAAAATAATAAAAAAAAATAGACGTGTGAACATACAGTAACTAGACACTTCCACCCAGTACATATTAGTATACAATAAAATATTATAATGCAGGTGGTTAATCTGAAAGTGAAATAAGCGGGAGTGCCTAATCTTCACGTGATCAAAATTTTCTCCAAATGATCCAAAACATTAACTTGGTGCTATCTGCTGTAGCTAAGACACAATCACCGTAAGTGTGATTTTATTATCGGACGTTAATTTGTGGTTTGCCTTAAGTCAATGTGCTTTGTGCACTTATATTTCTTCACTTAAGAGCATTATTCATCGTGCAAATCTCTCTGAATACTGTAGAGCGCACTGGGGCAGATAAGAGCAGGTAGCCGGAATACACTGCGACGGGAAGCCTGACCAGGATGGTGCGATTATTGGAAGAACAAGTATTGTCAATGTATACAGCCTTAACAACATCAACCTAGAGAAGTCGACTTGTGAAAGAGACCTAGGGGTACTTGTAAGCCCTGACCTACGGCCTAGAGAACAGTGCGTTAATGTTCGAAATAAGGCAAACAGAGTATTGGGTTTTATATCTAAAAGTGTAAGTGCAGAGGTCTTATTGCAACTATATCTTGCACTAGTCAGGCCGCACCTCGATTATGCGGTTCAGTTCTGGTGCCCTTATTATAGAATGGATATCAATTCACTAGAGTCGGTGCAGCGAAGAATGACGAAAATGATTCCGGGACTTAGAAACCTTCCATATCAGGATAGGTTAAAGAAACTAAACTTGCATTCCCTAGAAAGACGAAGAGTGCGGGGAGATATGATAGAAGTATTCAAGTGGGTGAAAGGAATCAATAAAGGTGATATAGATACAGTTCTTATAATATCCGAGCAGGATAGGACTCGGAGCAACGGATTCAAGTTGGATAAGTTTAGGTTTAGGAGGGAGATAGGAAGAAACTGGTTCACAAATAAGGTGGTGGACGAGTGGAACAAGCTTAGCAACTTTGTAGTAAGTGCGGGAACTCTGGAAAGTTTCAAAAGGAGGCTAGATAGATTCATGGATGATATAGAGTGGTAGTAACTCTCGACAGGAGCTGCCATGCACAGGCCAACCGGCCTATTGCAGACTCCTTATTTTCTTATGTTCTTAAAGAAGGAAACACAAATTTCCCAAGAGCTTTCGTGTAATTCGCATCTTCAGGGGTGAGTACAGTCTAAGTTCCTTGCAAGGAATGTGATATGTTTTACTTAGACCAGACAGGTAAAGATCTGTTAGGACAGGCCAGGAATCCAATGCTCTGTTTGTTCATCTGAGGGATAATAAGCATTGCATTGACTGGGATAATGCCTCCTCAATATTACCTTGTAATTCAATTAACAGTAGGAACATTATAGAATCTAGTCTCATTAAACATACAGAAGCAGTCAACATGAATTTGAGTAATGGCATGTACAAACTGGACAATTTTGTAATTAAGAAGATTTGTAACCAGGTGAGAAGGTTGGGTCACCTTACCCTCTGACCTGACTACCAACCGTTGCGATGCTTTTTAAAGATTAGTAGGGTCATTACCTAATACCTGACCATTGTGGACCTGATCTCACCCTCCTCTGTATATATACACCTTGATTTGTACTTCTCCTTTGTCTGTATTCACCCCTGAAGATGTGAATTACACGAAAGCGCTTGGGAACTTTGTGTTTTCTTCTTTCCTTGTGGTTATCAGTATATATATATATATATATATATATATATATATATATATATATATATATATATATATATATATATATATATATATATATATATATATATATATATATTTCATGTAGATCCACAATGAAAACGTGGATAAGATAGAGTTGCCTCTGAAGATGTGAATAAAGACGAAAGCAAAATTATATATATATATATATATATATATATATATATATATATATATATATATATATATATATATATATATATATATATATATATATATATGTGTGTGTGTGTGTGTGTGTGTGTGTGTGTGTGTGTGTGTGTGTGTGTGTGTGGGTGTGTGTGGGTGCGACGTGGGGGCTGGAAGGAACCACTTCGAAATACTCAATTTGTAACCTTAATTGAAGAGGTTGGAAGTGGATAGTCAATTAACCCGCAAGTTCACTTCTTTACAGGTGATGGGTTGGTTCTTTACCAGAGTGAGGTATGGGCGGATTCCACACCCCTTAGTTCATTCCCAACTTTTTCTATTTCTTTTTAATTAGTATTCTGATGAGAAAAAGTTTGGTACATCCATTCTCACTAACTTCACCTCTTGCCCTTCAATAACCATGGACAGATACAGTATAATAAACAATTTTCGGGCGTTCCTGTTGGATCATTGTCACCTAAAGCCTAAAGGTCCAACCGCATTGCCTCCCGCGCTTGCAGGCAGTGTGCCACCGAGAGCTAGTAAATACCGTACAGTATATTGCACCATCATTATCACTACAATATTGCCTTTGTATCTCCATAAATTTGTACCAGAGAATACATGAATCCACGTCCCCTAGACCTCCAGCCATGCTAATAAAAAGTTTAGAAGGTTGATATGATAGTACATTCTGATTAAAAATCTAGGTGGTGGTTGTATAAATGGTGACTCGTTGTGGCTGGAATCTTTTCAGCTTCTTACTCGACGCCAGAACTCTCCTGGGACGCTGTATGTATGTGAGAGTTATCTACGAATTCGGCACATTTGAGATTGCTTTGTTCCAGAGCTGGAGTGCAGCGGTCGAGTGAATATAGAGCTCGCCTCCTGTTCCAGGGGTCAGTGGCTCGATTCCAGCGCACGCCCAGTTCATGGCAGTACTGACCATACTGCCTCCTTGTGTACCGAAGGCTTAGTGTACAGTGTGCTGTATCCACATTGTCCCTAACGGGGAGTCATGCCTATGGGACCCACTTTCATTTTTGTTCCAGATATCTCGTTTTTATTTCCTCCCGTATTCTCCCGTATGTGTTTTAGCTTACGGGAGTAAGGTGGTCACTGGAGTAAGGTGGTCACTAGAGTAAAGTGGCCACTAGAGTAAAGTGACCACTGGAGCGAAGTTTTCTACCAGTCGACCATTATTTTCATCTAATCAAAAAGCTAATTAATATGCTTACAAGGAGACAGACAGATAAAAAGACATATACAACCACACAGAGAGACAGACAGACGAAAACGTGTAGCCAGACAGCCAGCCAGACAGACAGCCAGGTCGTGTGGTACAGTGGGCCGCAGGAGCCAAGTGTTGGATATTTGTGGATCCACTAGATTCATGTTGTTCACCTGATATGGCTACTGTGTTCTCTCTCTCTCTCTCTCTCTCTCTCTCTCTCTCTCTCTCCACTATATTTCGTTTTCTCTTTACGCCAACAACATACCAATAACCAACTTCAATAACAATACTAATAACAGTGATTAATTATACAAAGACCAATAGCAGCGGTAGTTTTTCAGTTATTTACAAAGTAAGAAAACAAATTAAATATTCACTAAATCACCTAAAATTCGGACCAAAGACCACACTCTTTAATGTCTATAGGAAATATATATGATTCTATATGACAAGATATAGCCATCTACCTCTGACATATATAACACCTGTGATAAAAGGATGTATAATTAATAAAAGACTATTATATTATTTTTATTAGATATAATATAATCTTAAACAATTTTATATTATTATATTTTATTTTATTTTATTTATTCAGACATTTTATTTATATATCACCCAAAAAACATAAACACCCTAATACAAACAAACACACACAAACACCCTAATACAAACACACACACACAAACACAAACACCCTAATACCCCCCCCCCACACACACACACAAGCACCCTGATACAAACACACAAAAACACCCTTACAAAGACACACACAATCACCCTAATACAAACACACACATACACACACAAACACCCTAAATCAAACACACCACCCTAATACAAACACACACACACAAGCACCCTACTAAACACATTCACGCACCTAACACCCACATACACACACACACACACACACACACACACACACACACATACACACACACACACACACTCCTACTACTTGGCTGTCACTCGGAATCGAGTATGACGATCATCCAGCTTTGATACAATGATATGAGTTATTAAGGATGTCAC